TAGTACCATTTTTGTTTTATATAGGTCTCTCCACTCCCTTTTATCATCCCACAGTCTTTCCCCTTTTCAATTTCTTGCCAGCTCTTTCTTCTCTTCTTGATGTCTTCTAGTACCTGCCTGAAGGATCTTGTTCTAGATGGTACAATAGATCTCTCTGCTTTACAATTTAATTCTAATGTCCTTTTCAGTATCCTTGTTCTATTCTGTCTTTCCACATGGACAAACCATTGTAGTTCCTCCTCTTCTAACTCTATTAATACAGTCTGGAATCCAATTTATTCTCTACAGATTTCATTTCAAATCTGTCCATTCTTGTTTTCCTTCAGTACTACTGTTTTTCCTTTTGAATTTCACTTCTCAAACAAACTAACATATAAATCTCTCTACTTCATTAACCATTGTTATTACTTTTTATTCTAAGGCAAGTATCTACGTTCCTTGAAATGCTCAATCATCATCTTGTATACATTACTTTCAAGTATCTCATCTTCAGTAATCTCAGACGACAGGTCCACAGTCTCTTCCAAAACAATTCCTCCACTTATTGCGATCTAGAGCTTTCTCCTTCAAATGACAGTATCCTCTTCTGTCCCGAAGGTCTTCCAGCATCTTCTTACGTCTTCTTGTCACTTCTATCCGCCCATCTATCTTTCCTTCGATAGCTTCTTTTAGAAGGCAGTTTCTGCGTAAAACATGACAATCCAATTAGCCTTCCGTTTTCTTATTTTGTGTAGGATATTTCCTCTGCTCACTGACTCTAATTAATGCTTCTTCATTTCTTACATAATCGGTCCAACTGATCTTCTCCATCCTTCTCCAACACCACATTTCGAAACTTTCCAGATGTTTCTGATCTACTGCCCTAAGTGTCCATGTTTCAGCCCCATACAGAGCTATGCTCCAAATGTAGCATTTCACTAGTTTCTTCCTCAAGTATACTCCTTCATAATAAGATACCCATGACCTGATGTTACCTTCTTTTCAAATTAATTTTCACCCTTCCCCACATCAATATATCATCCACAAATGTTAATGTTAACAATGTTAACCCAACCACGCAACTCGACGCCGCTTGCCACACTGATTCAAGAAGGATGTGTGAGGAGACACCTAGCGGTATTTCGATGTACTCATAACCATTCGCGTGCAAAATTCAAATTTTGGAAACTTTTGGATTGCCCCATGTATAATTCCAGACAAATTTGAGCTGAGTTTATCACCACCGGATTTATTCAATTGAGATTAATCATTACTGAGATATTACTACTTCAATTATGACATGAATGATACATGCATTCGGGACTGAATTTTTAAGTTACAAAGCTACTTTATAATCCCCCTGTACGACAGACAAATGCACCCATATTGGAAGTTCAAGCACACCAATGGTACTGTTTGTCAGCAGAGACGGGACTGCAATCAACCACACTGTTTCCTGTGATGTAAGCTTGACTACTTTGTAGCCTACTTTCCATATTTTGAAAAATTAAACTAGGCCTATGACCTCACCTTGCTGTCTGTGTCTGCATATCCCCCTCTATCGATTTCTGAATGCCTGAATCAATCTTTAGGAAAATTGGTTATATATACAAGTATATCGGCACCTGAACACATCTCAAAGGCGTACTGCATAAATCTCCCCCATTGTTGCTATGCAATGTCCCAGTAAACACATTCACACATGGCAACAAATACGCACAATGATAGAACTGCTGGACGCCTCATTTTCTATGTAGTCATGTTGTACCAAGGAAGTCTGTGGGTCTGTGTAACAAAACTGGTTCAGGCTTCACATACAAGTGTGCTTTCCCATTCATCATCTGCTGTCAGAAAGTATAATAAGATCATGGGTCCCATGGGACTTGGAATGAAGTCACTGTGCTGGCTGGGAGCAGCAGCAATTTAGCAGCTAGTCAGACAGTAAAATATGGTCAAGAGTCTCGTGGGATTCAGAGGGCCAGCAGCAATTTACTGCTCTGGACTTGACTGTGTATTTCCACATTGTTGCTAGGCCATAGCTCAGTAAACACATTCCCACGGCAATAAAGGATTGTTGGAGGCACTATTTTCTATACTGTCCGTTTGCATCAAAGGAAAGAAGGCATTTAATTCTTACCAGAATTTGTTTTCCTTTAGTTAAATGCAGTACTTCACACAAGTTACTACAGCAGGGGTTTATCAGTAACTACACAAATGAAGAACTGGCCATGATTTTTATGGTGAACGCAAGAAGAAATGTGTCAGCAAGGCAACTGCACAGTGAAAGATAACCTGACTGAAACACTATTGACCCATACACTAGCTAACATCTGTTGGAAACTCTTCGTAACACTAAGGTGAAATACACCAAATCATCACGGTGGTAGATCCATAATGCATGGAGCAAATGAAGCTGCTGTCCTGGCAGGTATTGCAAACAATCCACAAGTGAGTACCATGCAAATTGCATGAGGTTTTGCAATCAGTCATTCAAGTGCGTTCATTGTATTGCTGGACGTCCAGCAATACAACGCGCGCAGCCACATACGAAAGACACAACATAAGACACAGTATATACACAATTAAAACATAAGAAGAATGACTCCCATAGTGGATGAATGGCGTTACACACATGTAAGATGATATATCTTAACAAGTTTTAATATATAAATTTTATTATTGAACGACGAACACATATCATTTTATAAATGGATACTTGATGGCAGGCAGTGCAATGGTTTAACGTGAATGATAAACCTGAGGAGGGCAGAATGATGCCGAAACATGTAGTGTGAAGTGACAAGTGAAATTGTATGCACTAAAAGACGGTAAATATATACACATTATGGATATTCATATTTGCATTCACAATGAAGCAAACTACATTTAGCACAGTTCACTGGGACTGGAAGCACTCTGTCAGAGAAGCCATGTACATTATGAATCCACAAAACTGACTTGAGTAAATGAAATGTTATTTTAAAGGCTATAATTAAATAATATTGGACCGCCTGTGTGGTCTAGTGGTCAGAGTTCCTGGCTACAGATCCAGAGGTCCCGGGTTCGACTCCCGGCACTACCAACTTTTCTGAGAAGTAGTGGGTCTGGAATGGGGTCCACTCAGCTTCGTGAGGATAACTGAGAAGCTATTTCAAGGAAATAGCTACTCCAGTCTAGAAAACCGAAATTAACGCCCATGGGGGTTTGTTGCGCTGACCACGCGACACCCTCTACCCACTAAAGTTGGCATTAACTTTGCCGACAAGCGGCGGTTGCTCAGTCAGCATAGTTCGCTTGCAGACTAAAGCCACAGTTTTATTTGTAATAATATTTCACAATGGTCAAACAAAACCATTACTGCACCTCACAGGAGCTGTAACACATGCTGTCTTTTTCTTATAAAAACCATAAAATTTCAATAAACTACTGTCTAATTTTAATAATTTGAATTATGTTTTTATGCTTGAATTTATATATTAGATTGATTGATTGATCAGTAACTGTCAGATGACAGGTCCACAGTCTCTTCCAAAACAGTTCCTCCACTTAATGTGATCTTCTGTTTTTGGAAAGAGACTATCCAGGAAAAGTGATAATGTGGTAGTTTTTCCATTTGCTTTCCACATCGCAGTACAACAGCCGTTCAAACCACTCTGGTCACGCCTGTTGCTATACGAACTTGAACCATCTCGAGCATCATTTGTTCTGTGCTTCAAGTCGCTGCTGATGACGCTGCTTCCGGCATCAGTTTTTGGTTTTTGGTGTCTCTCTTCGTCTGATGCCTACCCTTTGACCTGTCCAGCAAGGGAGGCCCTGCCAGTAGCTACGCTACCGCTGGTATAGCTCTCAGGGTCCTTGGCATACTCAAACCCCCTCACCACGATAAGGTGGAGAGGGGGATATTAGATTATGGTAAAACAAAATAAAGTAGTTAAAACTATATTGAAACTAAAGACCACAAGCAAACAGCCCGATCACAGAACCACCTTTCCCCTCCTGCAGATATTTAAGCCTCTCTGTTCAGTTTATGAGTAATAAACATTGCTCCATAAATGCACCTTACTTAGGCTGTATATGATTGAGAGCAAGCGTCACAACATTATTTTTGAAAGAACAAGCATACAGAACAGTGTACCACATAACCACGCTACTTTCTCTGCTCATTTAATGCCACCCCCACCCCCTCACCCCCCATCTAACAGAGAACCACTACAGAGACATACAATTCTTTGTCATATTACTACAAAACTCAGAACTATTTTACAGTTCCACCATCTAGAATCACCATAATTCATTTGGTAGAGTAAAATCAAGCAAATGTAACCACAGATCATGCATGCACTGTGTCCTTTCTCTGTTGGTTCAGCCTGTCCACAGCACAGACAATGCCTTTGCTTCCATACAATACTACTACAGAAAAGACGAGGTCATGACAGTTTCAAATTTATTACCTCATTTCATAAACAAAAGATTCACAAACTACCACACATTCTCTAAAAGCCACTGGCCCTAGGGCAGGCATGAAAACAAGCAGAAAAACATTTCTTTATGGTGGTGTAACATATAATGTATAAATTTTAATACATTGCAAAAATTACATTATAAATTTATTAATATACTCACTTCAGTGTTTTCAAGGGTTTGTTTCCAAGCAGCAGAAACATTTCAGGTAACTGTACTATTAAGTCATCTACAAACAAGTTTTCAATTTTGAAATAGTAAGTATGATTTTTCCTTTCTCATAAATACAGGGCCAGCTTTTTAACTACTACAATTACAAAATCAGTAAACTACATTAATACATCATATATTTTCATGGTCAAATGTACCTTACATATTGCTATTGGCAATTTAGACATGTGCCTTATGTCACAATGACTCAATTGCCAAATACCATCAGCACAAAGCATATCAAATTATAAAACTAAGTCCCCTGTATATAACACTAACTTGGATAGATCAGGAAGCATACCTATATATACATATATAAATTCTGTGTTTAGGAAACTTCTTTAACTTACCAGAAGCTGATGCTGATGGGAGGTTGTTCATGGCCACCCTATAAAGTAATAACAAACAGTATCAGACATGCAGCTGTTTACCATTACAGTTTTTTGTTCTACATTTAAGAAATGTCCTTGCTCAAATAGATTTTAACCTACATGTCAATTACAAAATAATGTAGCATTCATTAAAATGGTTGGGGCCATTCTTACAGTACATCAAATTTTACATTAATTCCCTTCACATTTCAAATCCATTAATAAATTTTCCATATTATAGTGCATTACTTATTAACTGTCAACAATGAACATTATGTTTTCCTATAAATTTTAAATAAATAAACACTCTGGAATTGTTTTCCCATTCAACAGTGGAATAATACTGATACGTGAATGAATCAGACTTGAGAATATTGCAATTTTCTAATTTATAACACTATTAGACATAAATCTAGAGAACTGTAATTAAATCATAAAAAAATGAAAGTAAGAAATGAAACTATGCTATCAGAAGCCAGATCCCAGCAGGGAATACAAAGAAAATTACAGTAACAGAATTGCCAGTATTAACATGTTAGGTGGGATCAACTGAGTGCAACATGTCTGAGCAACATACCAGAAAAGTAAAATTGTATTATTCAACTGACCTCATCATTCCTCCCCTACTATGGCCCTGGGGTCCACTCAGTCTCTAACATAAATGAGTACCAGGACTCTTCATGGGGGAAAGGGTGGCTGGTATGTAAGGCTGAAAACCTCACTGCCATCTGTGTGAATCGTCTAGAAAATGTGTGAGCCTGGAAGTCTCACAATCCTATGAACCTCAATGGCCTGATACAGTGATAGATTTACCTTTTTGTTTACATCTTAATGAACTAGCTTCATGGAGCTGAGCCATTCCTGAAATGCCACCAATTGTGCACCTACTCAAGAACTTCCCAGCAATTTACGGAAACCAAAGATTCATTACTGTGGTCATAAAAGCCCACAGCTGGTCCCTATCCTGAACCAGATCAATCCAGTCCATACTACCCATCCTGTCTCTCTAAGATCCATTTTATTATTATTAAACCACCTATGTCTTGGTCTTACTAGTGGTATCTTTCCTTCATTTCTTTTGCAACTCTCATGAGTGAACCTGCCTTATGCAGATTTCTTACATTCTATGCAGCAAATCTCATGTCCATTATTATTATTATTATTATTAGAATGGGCACACAATTTATTTTAATCAAAAGCATGCGAAAAGATAGTTATGGGTATACCTGCAAAATATTGAAAACTACATACTTATACCACTTTTGCTTGAATAATATTTTGACATGTCAGTGGTTATACTACTTTATATGCGTTTGTAGTTATGTTATGTTAGAGAAAATTTTAAAAGGTTTAAAAACATCATAACTAAAGATTTTTAAAGTGCTACTACAAGAATATCAAATTTGACGTGTGCAACATAATCTACATACCAGACATATATCAACGATGTAGATGTTGATAATACGAAGAATATGACATTGTGTTTTTAAATGTTAAATTTTAGACTGGGGTCAGTGTGGCAGCAACGTTAAGAGTATACACCTGATGATGGCCGATAGAGGCCGAAACATGTAGTGTAGAAAGAACAAGATCAAAGACATATAATATATATTGTTTGCACTTGGGACAGAATTTGTGTCATTTATCGTGACTATTTAAGTTTTATCACTTGAGGATTTATCTCCCTTACATGTTTCGATCCTTACAGATCATCCTCAGAGGGTATCAATACTTTCGGAAACTACTATTACAATAGATGTTAATTGTATGGATACACATATGATGTCTAAAATGCACAATATACGCAATGTTCAACCTTCCACATTCACAGCGGCCTTCTTGGTGTTAAGTTTCTTTTTAAAAACTTTCAAGATCAAGCTTAAAATACTCAAGAAGGCACGTAAGAAGGTTGGTCTAGAACTAACACAGAGAAAACTAAATATATGTTGCTGTCTTGTCACTAAAATGCAGGGCAAAATCATGACATAAAGATAGAAAACAGATGTTTTGAAAATGTGGCCCAGTCCAAATATTTGGGAATGGTTATAACAAATGAAAACCTGATTCAGGAGGAAATTAAGAGGAGACTGAACTCAGGCAATGCTTGCTACCATTCAGTCCAGAACCTTTTGTCTTCTCATCTGATGTCCAAAAACATAAAAATTAGAATATACAAAACTATAATTTTGCCTGTGGTTCTGTATGGTTGTGAAACTTGGTCTCTGACATTAAGGGAGGAACATAGACTGAGGGTGTTTGAGAACAGGGTGTTGAGGAGAATATTTGGACCAAAGAGAGATGAAGTGACAGGAGGTAGGAGAAAACTGCATAATGAGGAGCTTCATAACTTGTACTCTTCTCCAAGTATAATTAAAATGATCAAGTCAAGGAGGATGAGGTGGGCAGGGCATGTAGCACGAATGGGGGAGACAAGGAATGTGTATGGCATTGGTGGGAAAGCCAGAAGGAAAGAGACCACTGGGAACACCAAGGCGTAGGTGGGTGGACAATATATGAAAAACCCTTCACAGTCAGATTTCCTGACGGGAGTGAATTGGAAGACGGGTTTCAGCCCGATAGAAAAGGAGGACTGATCTGGTATACAGATGGTTCCAAGATAAATAAGGACACTGGAGCTGGTGTGTTCTGCCATGGCATGAGGCGGAAACTTAGTTTCAGCCTTGGGCAGTACACGACAGTATTCCAGGCAGAAGTATATGCCATTGAGGCATGTATTATGGAGAATTTAGATAGGAACTACAGAAATAGGAACATCTACATTCTAACTGACAGCCAAGCTGCACTTAAAGTGCTTGACAAACACCAGATCAACTAAAAATTGATCTGGGATTGCCACCAAACCCTCATGGAACTGGCCAAACATAACAGGGTACAACTAATATGGTTGCCGGGGCATGAGGGTATTGCTGGAAATGAAATAGCAGACCAACTGGCCAAGATTGGAGCTGAACATCCATTCATAGGACCTGAACCAGCCTGAGGCATCTCTATAGGAATCGCCAGAAAGGCACTCAGGGACTGGACAAATATGAATCACAAGAAATACTGGGGATCCTTGACTGGACTCAGGCAAGCAAAGGAACTCATATGAGGACCCTCTACTAAAAGAGCAAAGGAACTGTTGAAGTTAAACAGGAACCAGCTATGATGGGTGGTGGAACTACTTACAGGACACTGTTACCTTAAAGGACACCTCTTCAAACTGGGACTAAGTGATAGCCCCACTTGTGAGAGGTGTCAAGAAGAAAATGAAACAGCCACACATATCCTGTGCAAATGTGAGGCCCTAGCTTATTTAAGATTGCGCCCCTTGGGTCAATATTTTATGGAACCAAGTGACGATTTTAGACATCTCCACGTGCAAAATCCTACGCTTCATTCGAAGCGCAGGTTTGTTGAGGGGATAATCAGAAGGGGAGGCACAATAGATCACTGTGGTCGCAGTGCAAGGGCCAAGAAGGCCCACCCCTTATACATACATACATACATTCATTCATTCATTCCCTGGTGCACCGTTTTAACTGACAAGGCTTGGGTAACAAATTTACCACTTAAATATTTTAGTCTATTGAGATTCCATAAAAATAGAGTTTACATAATAAAGTATTTCCCCACTTGTCATATGAAATGCTCAAATTGCACTCAAAGGAAAGTAGGAAAGTAGTTCTTCCCATAAATTCTTGTTTTCTTAATCTGTTACAAGTCTGATGTAAGTTCCCTCTCTCAAACACACACATATGCACACATAAATCCTGTTGCTTGTTCACAGAAAAAAAGATTGTACAATTATACTGCGTACACTTAAAGAGGCATATTCTGCAATATCCATTTTTCAAAGTACTTAGAAAAGATGCCACAGCTAATGTGAGAAAGGGAAGTTACATTCTGTAATTCTAGGTGTCCTGTTTTAAACCGAATAATCAGAGTACTTAACACTGCAATGAACTCTATCCATACTAAAAGCAAACAGTAATTTGAAATACAGCTATTCACTGTTTTGTTTGTTGACATTTATTCATATTGGCAAGATATTAAAACTATATACTGAATGAATCAATATTAAGGCTTCACTGGTCAATGTTATTACAAACACCAAAAAAATTAAACATTTATAATTTACTACAGGCTTCAAAGTCATACTGCATTAGAACATAAAATCAGTCAAGACTTCCTTTTGTTTTTCACATGGGGGATACTTCATATAATTACTTTCAAGAATAACAGATTTCAGTGCCCCCCCCCCAAAAAAAAACATGTTTAGGAGACCACTGCTGACTGCTGAATATACAAGTTAAAGGCTCCATACATGATACATGTAACAGGATTTAGACTGCAATGTGTCAGGAAATTACAAGAAAAATGTTTAACTGTCAGATGGTTGCAATGCATGCATCTCAGTAGAACTTGCCATGTAAGCCACTGGAACTGAAGGAACAGACTGGGAATCCACAGCACGGTAAAAAACAAGGAAAAGGTTTCCTCCAAGGACCCTTTACAAAAAGGACTAGGAAATATTTGCATTAAAGAGGAACCATGTTGATCATAGTGGCTGCACAGTTATGAAATGTCTTCACCTGCTCAAATACTTGGATAATGAGTTTGAATCCCATTCAAGGCATGGGCGTCTGCATTTGCTATGCGTTTGTGTCACTTTGTGTAGGTAGTGGCCTTGCAATGGGCTGATCACCCATCAAAGGAGTCCTACTAACTGTAAGATTAAGGCTGCGCCATAGCTCAAGCGGTTAGTTTCTGGCTTCCCACTGTGGCGGCCCAGGTTCGATCCCAGTTCTGATCAAGTGGGATTTGTGGTGGACAAAGTGGCGCTGGGGTGGGATTTCGCCGAGTACTTTCCCCTGTCAATCTTCATTCCACCAAATTCTCCATCATCATAATCACCCAGGGCAAGCTACAATAGGCCAATCAGTGGCTGCCGAGCTGAGTGGACCCAATAAGACTCCACCTCCCACTACGTGAATTAAAAAAAAAATAACTGTAAGATTTGAAGTTTCAGAATAATTCTGAATGGGAACAGGCCAGTGAGCCCAATCTGTCAGCGCAGAAGAAATAGAGCCACCTGAGATGAGTAACAGGACACTGTCACCTTAAAAAGCAGCTTTTCAAATTGAGATTAGTACACAATTCCTCTTGGAAAAAGTGTCAGAAAAGATAACATCCTCATATGTCCTATGTGATGATAAGGCCTGAGCCAACTTAAGATTTCATCATCTGGGGCATCTTTTTATGAAACCAAGCGACTGCTTAAAAGCCCTGTTAAGTACTGCACTTCATCTCAAGTGTGGGATATTAGGGGGCTGACTGAAGACAGGGATATGTAACAGATCAAAGAAGATCACTGTACAATGGCCACTATGGCCCACCTCTTAATCAATTAATTTTAGTCAAGAAAGACAATAAGAATCTGAAATATGCACTGAGCTTTGAAATCAGTAAATTCAGTTTTACCTGGAATTTCACAACTTTTTCAATTTGTTTAATTATCCAAACATACCTGTGAAATATACCATCTCATCAAGCTTCTCATCTTTGCTGAATGGAGAATCAAATTCAACTTTTTCCTCCTGATGGAAAAACTCTTTTGTTCCTCACATAAGCGATTCACATTTCTCTGTATGACACACTCCTACTGTTGATGCAGCATCCATGTCAATGCAGTTTTTTTGAAGTATTGAATTTCATTAAATTTATTGCTTTGATATATGAGACCTAATTGGTTTCAAATTCAAGGGGAATATTTTCATAGCCAACACCTGATGATGGATTATTCAAGCATGCCATTGGGCATTTGGGGATATGGTTTTTATCAATGAAAGACTTCTACATCCCACCACAGAAGGAGGCCCAGCAGTTCAAAATCCATGCAGGTTTTTCACCTTTAATGTCATGTTGTTTAAAAACAAAAATCACTTTAAAACTAATTTAAAGGAAACGCTGTTTGCAGTTGTCACAGTTTCCAGTGTTCTAAAACAATAATTTGTTCATATATCTAAGTTAAATGGGCTGTACTAGGTTCCTGACATCTGCTTGACCATAAGACTATACATTCAACAAATCACTTGGGCAACTTTTGATCAACAGCCAATTAGTGGGACAAATGCTGCAGCACCACAATTTCAGGTCACTCTTATGATAAGAGCTGAATGTTCTTAAAAGTCTAGCATTATTAAAACTACAATCCCACTGTTCTAACTGTCAACACATGGTCCTTAATACCCCTCGCTCAAGCCCTCAAAATCTGAAGGTCTTGCTATAATATCAGTCTATGACAAAGGTGGTTAGACCCATATGTGAGAACCGCTGCTCTAATGCAAAGTGTAAGTCAACCCATTACAAACCCATTCTTCACTCTATAATCTGGCTACTGGCTTGACATTTCAAAAGAACTCATTAAAATATTACTTACAACTTGGATACTGTGACTCTTGTACACAAGCAATTATGGCATGTAATTCCCACACCGTACGTATACGATTGACTACAGGAGATATTTGTAAGCAGGGCTATATGGAAGGCAGCCTGGTAGAGGTTGGTACCCTAGTGCTCTTTTGCTTGCTGGCCTGATGCTCAAGTACTTGAAACAAGAATTATAAAAGGCTTTTATTAAAGGTTTTATACACTATGATAAGAACTTATAGCCTATTTAACTATCAACATGTGGCAAAAATACCAACCTGGTTATATATGTGTGACTTCAATTACATTCTTTTTTTTTTTTTTGTACAACTGTGCAAATGTAAATGTCAGGAATGATCTCATACCGTGATTCATACCAATTTCTTTCAATGTGAAACGGTGTGCTAGGTCACTCCAGAACTTTTGTTTTTAAGGCTACCCCCCCCCCCATTGTAAGAATTATTAAATAATGAATGAACATAACTTACATCCAACTAGCAACAAAACAGCAACAGCATAGCACTTCTGATGCACAAAACATACCATGTACCATGCCATAAGCTAAGATTTAATTTCGAAGTAGAAATACTCTTCTGCTGCTTTGGTGAATTATTAGATATGCTACCACAGTCAATAAGTTCGTGGAATGGCCGCAGTGTCGTACGGGAATTTACAGCCAATATGTTTCAGCAATGTTTTTGACAGCTATATCAACGTTGGCAGACTTGCATAGCAGCCAACAGCAACTATTTTGAGGGCCGATCTGGATCTGCGTAAGTGTATATGAATACCTTGTAATATGATGAGATAGAAACACATTCCACGAACTTAATGACTCTACCACGTATAACTTTACAATATGATCACCAGTTACACCTTCTGAAACTATATCCAGTTATATTTGGGACAGTAAGAGGTGAAGTTGTCCCCGTGCTTAACTAATTAAGCACTATGCCATACAGACTTATGGGGGAGTGGATGTACAGATCAAAGTATTCCTCAGCTCACACTAGCTGGAATAGGGCAATCAACTTCATGCCTCAGGAAAAGGGCTCTGGTACCCACTGGAGAGGAGGCTGGGTGGACCCCAGAACTGGTTTGAATGACGAGGAGAGTAGAAAAATCTTGCCCCTACCAGGACTCAAACTCTGACTCCTCAGTCTGGACAACTGAGCCCATAGTCAGTGGCTATACTGACATTATCCCAACAATAAATACATTCATAATTTGTGATAGGTTAGAGGGATTAAGTAGGTTAGAACAGCTGCATTAGGTAACTAGTGCCAAAATGAAAACTGTTCATCATACTGCAAAGTTGTCCCTCCTCCTTGTTATATTACACTGAAGTCATTATCACTGTTCCCAGGACAGCTGCAAGTATTCAAAAATTATTTTTGGTCATGTGAAGATTGATACATGTGTCCACCCAAGCTAAACTAACTAAACTTAAGACCAAACTAACATGAAACTATCCTGGTATGTGATATAAAGGAAGACCAGGCCTATAACTTACACTTAATACCTGTAATGAGTCCAGGGTCTTAAAATTATATGTTGAAATATATTTACTGATTTTAGGTTTTCACACTGATTCATTGCTGATGTTCATCCTGCTCTTGTGTATTTACACTGGGTGTGAGCAGGCATTACTGCCAATGTCTTGGAGGTACATGCTGCCTCAACCTTCAGAGTTGGAGTAGGGTGAAGCTGAAGGCAGCACGTTCCTCATGCACATCAGCATCACTACCACTTCCATGTGGTGCAAATAACAAACAGCAGGATCAGCATCAACTTCCAACATCCTATCTATCAAATGCTATCTGCTATATTTCAAAGACATTAAATTTAATACTATTAGGCTGAGACATTCTGGAACTTTCATCCAGTCTGCAGCCTAACTAAGCTCATGGAGTGAAGCCCTTCTTGAGGAAGTCACCAGTTTTGCAGCTACTCAAGAATTTCCCAACATTTTATGGAACCCAAAGGTTCATCACCATGTTCACAAGAACACATCCTGAATCAGATCAATCCAATCCATACCACCTTATCCTGTCCCTCTAAGATCCATTTTAACATTATCCTCCTACCTATGTATAAGTCTTAATGTTGGTCTCTTTCCTTCTGGCTTTCCCACCAAAACCCTGTATGTCTTCCTCTTCTCTTCATGCATGCTATGTAACCTGCACACCCCAACACAGAATTGGTGTTTGTCTTCTGTGGTATTTACTTCTAACCTAATTCCAGTTAATGGAAGTTATTCTAGAAGTAAATGCAGAGAAAATTAAGTATGTTTCTCTTGTCACCTGCATATTGGACAAAATCTTTTACAGAGAGGTAACATCTTCAAATCTGTGCAAACATTTGGAAATGACAGTAACATAAAATTTGTTTTCCTAAAGAAATAAGGAGAAGATTAAATTTGTGGAATGTCTGCTACCACCCATTTCTGAAGCTCATCTTTCCTGCTCTTATATAAGATGCAGATCTAAGTATCACAACTACATTAAGTTTATCAGTTGCTTTGTATGAGCATGAAACTTTGTATCTTAATCTAAGAACTCATTTCAGGGGTATTAAACAAACTAGGTGATGAAGAGAATACTAGGGTTTATGAGGGAAGAAACAGAAGGGTGGAGAGGACTGTATAATGAGAAGCTACATAATGTATACTCTCTAGTAAATTATAATAGGGTGATCACATCATAGATGAGCAAGATGGACACGTAGCACACACAGTACATGGCAACAGCATACAAATATTTGGTCTGAAAACCTGAAGAGAAGAGACCATGTGGGAATCCTGAGCATAGAGGACATGGTAATATTAAAAAGGTGCTTAGCAGCATATAAATTTCAAATTTTTTATTAAACATAAAATTTGGCAAACCACTTGAGTATGATGAGTTTTGTCCCCATGATGGTTTAAACTAATACTTGAGACTGCAATTCGTTTTGAGGGAGTCAAATATCAAAGATGTATTAGATACCAGTAATGTATTATAAACAACGTGGGTAAACTGGACAACTGCGACATGATCTCAACACACTGGCCAAATGTTCATGTTGGGTTAAAAAACTTACTGCTAATGCAGGAACTTATTCTGAAGTGTATTTACCAACAGCAATTCGAATGTTTTAACATTCTAAAAAATTAACCACCTCCACCGGTGCTGTCATCAAATGTTAAATTTGTTCTAAACCATGAACGTTACTATGGCGTTAAATTTGGTAAAGTATCGTCTTTATTTTGTTCTTAAAAATTTGTGGAGCAAATTTCTAATGCAATGCTGTCAATATTTTAAAATTCGAAGTTACAAATATCCATAAAAATACCGGTCTGGGGCGTTAAGATACAGAATTCTAACATGTGGATAAATATATACATATATAGTAATTAACTGCATCTGATTCAAAAAGAGTATTGTCTAAATGCATGTATATCAGTTCTATGCAATATCTGCTTACAAACTAGTTCACAGATCGAACTGTTCATTATGCAATAATTTAACTAACAAACGTGTTCAACACAACATGGATAATTCCAGTCAGCAACTGCGTCAACTGTTTCATAAGTGAACTAATCTCCCGCTTTGCCCTGTCAATCAAAACTAAACCAACATGGCCGTGGCAGCCGTAACTGGTTTTGTTACGAACGCTTCTAGGGACAGGTTTCTAGAATAGATCGCATGCTTGGTACCCTTCACACGACCTCAAATGGGTTCAGATTACAACGCATGCTACTGGTTCCCAATCAATAACATGCCTAATAATTTAGCATTAATAATATACATTTCACTGTGGGTAATTTATTCAACTGCATCTATTACAAATGACCTTCAGGAAACACGAATAAGTAGTTAAAACTAGTATTTAATTAGTGATAAACGTTAATACACATACACATTAACACTTACCGATAGATGTCATGAACATCGCTCAACTCTGTCAAACACGAACACTGAACAAAAGAAATACAGATTCCACTATTTCGAAATTCAAACGGTTCAAGGACTAATACAGCGCTGTCTGTCCTGTTGAGCCCAAGCAACAAAACGTTAGACACCGAGGACTACAGGTAGATATTGAATTCGTGTTCAGCAACACAACTTCAGCGGTCAGTGCTTCTCACTCACTCAGATGTGCATCCTTCCTTACCCATGAAAGGAAGGAATGGAACGGTCTCTTGTTGGTCTTAGCATACATAGTGCGTGACGGAACATACAAGCCGTGCACAGAGTGAGAGAGAGAGAAAAACGTGTTCCTCGGAGACAGACATATGGTTGTAAGGTCGAAATTCTGGGATGAAATAGTCTCAAAGTAGAACAAAGAGACTTTCGCCTACGATCATAGCCGAGCGAACGAGAACAGCCCTGAACCGAGCCAACACGAACCCTATAATGGCGGGGTGAGGTGGAGAGGAGTACTTGACGCTTGGCAAATAGCAGTTCCGTTGGCTCTCTCTTTCCGTGCTTAGTCCCTCCGCCACTCCCATGTTGAAAGTGGCATTAATACAAATGGTGGAATAGGGGAAGCAAATGGTTGTTGAGGAGAGTTGGTCTAGTGCTTATCAAGACTTGAAAGCAGCGGAGTGGGGGGAGTAGGGACGGGGAGCAAACCTGTCAATTCCGTTGAAACACCAAAACTGCTATTATGACGTCATTCTATCAATTTATTTTTATTCTCTATGTGAAACCGACATTTCTCCGATCGTCCCAGAGCGTCCCAGAGTATCCGAGACTAGAGAACGGGTATTAGTCCCTGCGTATTTCGAAACCAAAGCGTGACTCACAACAGGCAGAAGGGAGTAGTGAAAAGCAGCGAGAACCACAAACAGTGACGTAGACAGCACAATGCAATTACGTTTTCATGGAAAAACAGCGCCGCCCTGACGTTGCATGCATAAAGGCATTAAGAGACGGTCCGTAATATGTGTGTGGAATATAAATATAGCCAAAACATCGGCACAGCTTATACACCATTGGTCGCGTCGATCGTATTCAACATTTAGGGGTAAATACGATTAAAAAACTGATGTTAATTTATTTCAGGCCTCTGCGTGATAAAATATATCGCTGAAGTTCTCAGTTAAGTACCACCCTACGATGATGTATGGAAGAGTGCAGGTATAATTTCATGCATTCTTAACCTCAGCACGATATTGAGGTGGAGGTCAGCTTCATGCTCCGGCTGCTTCATCCCCAGGGAAAGGGCCCCCGATACCCACTGGGTTGGGGGCTAGACGGGTCCCAGGGCGTCTCGATGCTGCGAAGAATAAAAGTCTCTTAATCGAACCCCAATTGCCTGGTGGTCCTCCCCGTAGTCTAGCCATGATACGCACTGTGCTATTCTGGCTTCTTTCAGATAAAAAGTACCATAATTACGTCTGTCCTCAAATGTCACTTGCGTTATAGCAGGGCTACATTTGTGTGCCTGCATGTATGAATATATTCCACCTAACGCGTGTAGTTATATAGTCTGGATACATATGACGTAAAATTACCCAACCCATACCTCTCACTCATGTAACAAATGTCGGATTCCTTTAGAGGGACTTCCATTAGTTTCATTACACATTACTGCAACATATATGACGTGAACTACAGCAGTAGTGGATAAACATATATCCCTTCTTGCTGACTGTATAACGAAGTTAGAAGGGAACGTTGCCAAATTACCTCAGGCCTGATCTAGGGTTCTAGGCCGGGTCGATTGAGCTTACACCTAGCCCGGGCAAAGCAAAGCGTTAGCTGGCTGTTGCAGCTTTGCAGGCACAGCAACCAAGTCAGGATTTATTTTGGGACTATAGATCATCGTTGTACTGGGTGATGCTGGCGAATGTGGCTATCGATTTTGCGGCTATCCGCATGCTTCCTGACTCATTTTATACCACATTCGTCGGGGTAAATAGGCATAGACACTGCGCACAATTTATCATTCACAGTATTTATCTACAATAACGATGATAATATCTTGTTTACACGGGTGCTCATTTATCATTTGAAGTGCATGCGCGATAGTGGAAGAGCAGGACTAGTTCCCACCACCTACTCCTGACGTGACCCAATAGAACTGCGTATGCATTATCAGAGTCACGTTAAATGTAGATAATAAAAGTGAATATCCATGGCTGGGCCTTTTGTTCTGATTCCCCTTCCCTCCAACCGCCCCTGTAGGCCTGGCAAATATCTCCTTTTCATTTCCTCAATTTACCCCTCCCATGCCTCTGTTTCAAATTACTTTTGAGTTCCTAACAGGCTTTGGGAATAAAACCCCTCTCGCCCTCCTACCCTCTCTGCAGGCCGCAGGCGTAATGATTCTTCCTCTCGTGCCCCCCGTCCCTCCCGGACAACTGAAACCCACAGAGTTCCATCATCGACTATAATAGAATGGGATATTCGTTGCTAGGTTACGACTAAACGAGGTCCTTGCTTGCTGTCCGTGGATAAACGTACTAACAGACTTTTGTATTTTTCACCATTACCTTTCTATATAAGCTATCCGCGTAAAACACAATGTTAAGAGAAACAATGAACCATAAATGTTACTGCTCTATCACGCTGATAGAGATTTTTTATTGTTCTAGTGATATAACTATATCTACAAAAAGTTTACAACCGACTTAAGGCACGCGGGTAACTGAAATCCTCCTTATGGTTCCTATATTGAAGCAAATTTCGTACTGAGCTAAATCTGTCTTTGAAACCACGAACATCAGTTCAGGGTCGTTTAGATTATGATACCGTTTAATCCGGTAGGTGGGTACCGACGTTTTATGAAGAACATAATGCCTCCGTCTTCAATATTTTCCGGACACATGCTGATATGGACATTTTTCTTGTTTTGATACATGAAACTCTTGCCCAAAGTTATTTCGCACTTTTGATTTACACTCTGCATAAAATTATAATTTTACATGTTACTTGATTCGGGCAATTTCGTCTCTCTCGCTGAGAATGAAAATCAATTGAAATCTTACAATAGAATAAAGTTCTGATGAAAATATCTGGACCTAACAAAATGTAAGTAACTGATCAATGAATAAAATTAGGTCATTGTGAGCATAATTTGTATTCTTCTACCAGTTTGATTAGGATGCTTAAATTATGAACATGACATGAGGGGGTATGAAACATGCCTGAAGGAAATAATAAATACTTTGACTGCTGTCTGAGAGACCACATGATAAGAGGCGACTTGGGTGCGTGTAATTAAAATGGCTTTTAAAATAAGTTACGAGCATATGAGCTACAACTTTCTGCATCAAGACGGTCAGATGGTGGNTACTGTGTGCTAGTGTGTCCTTTGTTGTTTGTGTAGTTTTGTGTGCTGTGTTTTGTTTGAGTGTGGTGTGTTATTTTGTGTGTTGTGTCTTATTGTAGCATCACTGCCACCAGGCAAAAACCCATTTGCAGTTTAAATAAATAATAATAATAATAATAATAGAACCTCAGACGTTCTTGCTAAATTGGAATGAACGACCAGGCTCATAAGTACTCTGGTTACCTTATACCGGAAACAGCTCCCAGACAATGAACCGAATGGGGGCCACTGCTGGTATGGGCACTGTGGTGAAGAGAAACATCCTGACTCCCACTGAGAATGTAACACTGATTTTGGCTGAGCTTTCCAAACAATATACAGCTTAACCAACAATAAATAAAGGAGTGATATGCATACAGTCAAAATGTAAGTATGAGCGAGAAACTAACACATAAGCAACAATGAGTTAAGTAGTTTAGAAGATATGAATTGAAAGAAGTAAAAAGACATTACAGCAACAATGCTATTAATCTCAAGTTAAATGTAAGAAAAATCAGCAGACTGCGTCAGGAATTTAAGGAAACAAAGTAACCTGTTACATCAGGATGTCAAACCAATAACGCTTGAACTGTCAAGATAACATGGCAAAATAATACAATATGAAATATGAGGTTCGACAATTTAATTCCCGGAATGGCCGCAGCATGTCGCTTGGGTGTTGCTTCAGGCAAAATCGTGTACTCAGGCATGTTTGGAGATTTTCCAACTTGCGTTTACATGAGCCACAAACCAAATGAGTCGTTCGTTCCCAAGCAGTAGAGGAAGTAGTACGTGTCAGTGGTATGCTGTTGGCCGGAAAGTGACCGACAAGAATACTGAAGTAGCGGATAAACATCAAGTTTTGTGTGAGGATTGGCAAAAGTGCTAGTGAAACGTTAGCTCTATTAACAGCGGCTGATGGTAAATACGCTATGAAGATATCGATTGTCTTAAATGGCATAGGCGGTTGAAGGAAGGGCGAGATGTGCAAGATGACCCAAGAAACGGGCAGCCAAAAACACCAAGGACAGTTACAAATGTGGACAGAGTATGAACAGACTGTGCATCAACAGTGTTATTTGGAAGTGCTAACAAAGTTAGGAGAATCTGTTCGGAAAAAAAATAAATAAATCCGAACTCTGGCCTGTCAAGTGGATTCTCCGCCATAACAATCCCCCAGCGCAAGATACGTTAGGAGTTCGCGAATCCTGGCTAAGAAATCCATTACAAATATGGACCATCCACCTTATTCGCCTGACTTAGCCCCCTGCAATTTTTGGCTCTTTCCAAAATTGAGAAAATGCCCTGAAAGAACAAAGATTTGCTGACATGCCTGACATCCAACGCAACGTGATAACGTTATTGCGAAATATCCCGGTAAATGATTTTCACGACTTTCCGGCAGTGGCACCATAGACTCACGAAGTGCACAACTTCACTAGGAGAGTATTTCAAAGGCGATAGCAGCCGCTAGTGCTCAGATAAACACATTTTGTTTCCTCAGGGCCATTTCCGGAATTAAATTGTCGCATCTTTATGCATGGCCACAAAAGAACCAGTTACTGAGTACTGGGACTAGCTCTAATTACAACTATTGCCAAAAATAAAGTGAATTATGAGAAACGAACTCACGAAAACCGATTTAACAATAGATGAAAATAAATCAATAGGGCCGTTAACGTGATTACAGACACCAGTACCAAAAGTAAAGGCCCACTCCCAAGCATATAGACGTAACAGAAATGTACACGCTATGGAGGAAGCTATACTCCATTTATAGATGCGTTATTTTGCATTCCTCTGTGTTTAAATGACTATCTTTTTCTTGGAAGTAAAAGTCTACTGTTGTAACACAATTCACAATGCATACTGCATAGATTCATACATAATTTTTCTTCGACTCAGCTTTATCTCATCATATCGAAAAATAGATTCATATGA